GTGTGTGTGTGTGTGTGTGAGTGTGAGTGAGAGTGAGAGTGAGAGTGAGAGAGAGTGAGTGTGTGTGTGTGTGACCTCAAAGACTTTATTTGTTTGCATTAAGACACACTTTTACTGTTCTTGCTTTAAAAACATTAATCATGAGTGTCATATTTTTGAAGTTTCAGTAATGCTTCAAAATACAGGTTGGGTTTAAATTACTGCTTGAGTTTTTTTATGTCTGAAAATGATTAAACTGAAAATCAGTATTTTAGTATCATTGAGACGCTTATAGGCTACATTTAATTTTTGTTTAGGTTTGATTTTAGTTAAAAGTTAATGATTTTGTTGATTTTATTTTTAAATATGCATGTCATTTTCATTCATTTTCTTTTCAGTTTTAGTCATTTTAATACATCAAGTTAAGCAAAATAAAAATAAGAAATGTTGCAACTAGCTGAAGTTAATTTTTTGGTATTTTATTTTATTCCAGTTAACATTTATATTATATCAAGTAATAAAAAGTTTCAGTTTCAGTAAATACATTAACCTTGAACTGAACGAAATTATTGATGTTTTATTGTTCATTTTCATACATCATTTTTAATTTCAAAATGATCTAAAACTAATTGAAGCCTGTATGCTTCATTGACTTAGAGATCTTACATTTAAATATTTTTCACTGAAGGAGATCTCAAATAGTATGTTACTGAATTAGTAATATTTGCGTTTCTGAATGGTTGTAAGTACTTTAGCACCATCTGCAGGATGATAATGGCATTACACACATAATATTCATAAAAGATCTCTGTGTACGAATAAATATAAATTAGTACAGTATATGAAAACAGTTCTTTGCTGACAAACTCACTCATGGTGAGGTCTTTAAATGGTTAAATGGATCTGCTTAGAGTTTATAATGGCTGGAAATACATTTCTTTCTCCATTAGGTGTCGCTTATTTATTTTCTGTTGTGCAATAAGAAAAGTTTTTATTTGTATTTTTTTAACCATGGTTAAAAAGTGGTTAATAAATAAATGTTCGTGTATAAAATAAGTGCACAAAAAATATATATTTAATCTGCATTATCTAAAAAACTAGCCTGTCCTATGGAAAACTGCAGCTAAGTTTATATTGTTTCAAGGGTGTTTTATTTATACTGTAAAACATTCTGATTTGAAGACTTTTTTGCAATGTGTGTGTTTTTTCCAAAACGCGTTCCGTCGTCCGTTCATACTAGTTCTTGTTCCGTCCGGGCTTCCGTACTTTGCCTCGTTCTCGCTCTCAGTCGGCCCTGCAACGAAGATGGCGGAAGCTCCCCCGCGGCCCTGCCGGTTCTTCTGCCACCGGTGTTCAGAAGAGATCAGCCCTCGGCTCCCGGTAAGACGCCGCGGTCTTAACGAGCCTCTCCCGAAGGCTTTGAATTGGTATAGATGCGTGTAACGGAACAAACGGCCTCTTTTATAACGCGTTTCTCCGCGCTCGCTGTGCTAACGGCTAACATTCTGCTGGTTGCCAATAGCAACACTCAGGATTAAAATGAGGATTTAATCGAATTACACGTAATTGGAGAGGTGAGAGTTTAATCAGACGGACTCTTGGCAGATTATAGAGTTTTCCAGAGTGTAACCTATCAAACCTAAAGGCTGCTTGTTATGACATCAACTCGGTATTGTCACTAACTAGTCATCGCGAATCACATAAGATTGACATGAGGACACGTAGTTAGAATATTGTCAGATGTGTCTGGTTCGTGTTTCATAAGTGGTTCAGTTGTCTGATCTGTAGATCAGAACTAGTTATGAATGCAGCTGGGTAACTAGTTACGTTGTTTATTAAATAGCGTGCAATTAATACCGTTTGCTATAAAGTTTGAGATGTTCATAGCCCTGATTTTTGTGTCTGATCTGTCTTGTCATGTAGTTTAGTTGGCTATAACTGAAAACTGGTGGTTATTAGAGACCAACTAGTTAGATTTTATTAACTAATAATAAGAGACTGATGAATTCCAGTGCTTATAAGTTGGTTAGATGCTGATGTTTGTCTTTAATGTTTGTGGTGTGTTTTTGATATATTATTGGTTGAAACAGTTGGCTGGTTTTTAAGTGGTTAGCTGGTTAGTTTTTGTGTTTTTAACTAGACCTTAACTAGACCTAATTATAGTGTGTATGGTCAAAGTTTAATTTTCTGTGTTTAGTGTCGTTTAGTTCAGTGATTCCCAACCTTTTTTTAGTCGCGGCACCCTTTGGAAATTTAGCAATTTAAAAATATTAAAAAAGGAGTTTTTACACGGCACCCCTGCTCTCGACAGACGGCACCCCGGTTGGGAAACACTGGTTTAGTTGACTGAAGGCTGATTATTTTGAGAGCTACTGTACTGGTTAGTTAAATCATATCAAGTGTTGTGATGAAAGCCAATGTTTGTAAGTTGATCAATTGCAGATGGATTGTTTTATGTGTGCTTTAGGTTTCTGATCATTGATTGATTGATATGGTTAGCTGTTACAGAGGTCCTGTTAATATGAGATCTACTGGTTACTACTGGTTAGTGTTATTATCTAATTATTGTCAATAGTATTAAATTGATCTTATGATCTGTGTTCTGTGATAATAAATTGGTGAGATTTTGAAGTCTGATAACGGAGTTGGCTATGAGACTATATGAGACTACCTGGTTAGTTTTACTGACTGATTAGAAGATCTGTTTTATACATCAGTCAAGTGTTCTTGTTCTTTTTGCATCAAACTGACAAGTTGATGTATAAGCAGATCTAATTCTATTGATCTGTGGTTTTGGCATCTGATTTGTGATTTATGTAGGTCCGATTTCTTGACTGTAACTGAAGACTGGTTGTAATGAGATCAGCTGATTAATTTTGGAAATGATTGTGAGTAATGTCAGATTAAAATCAGACTTTGATACTTGTATGGAGATTAACTAAAGTAAAAAATTAAAACCATTAAAACACACACACATTTTTGTTACTTGAAATATTATATAAAATAAATATAAGAGCCTTATACTTATTTCAGTTAGTTGCCAAGGCAATATATACTAAAATAACTCCAACTAAAACAGAAAAAAATAAATAAAAACTATGTAGACGTGAAAAAAAAAAGAAAAATGAAAATGGACAATATCAAATATTTTATAATATTAATAAAAACTGTAATAGCGTCTCAATTCTACTAAGATAACACTGGTGTCTCTAGTGGCTTTTGGTTGTTTAACATGCAGCCTGTGCTAATGAAAGTCACGCTCTCTGGCTCTACAACTTTCTGCTGACACTCATAATAAATGAAGCTAGTACAGTTGGAGGATGATGATGTCATTTGTAAAACTGCCTTAATTCACTGTCAGCTGACCCAGGACACGTCAGGAGTTCATCTGAAACCACAGATCTGTTTCATTCATCAGTTTCACACATACTATCATCTCTAGCTGTCAGGAAATACCAGGCCAGAGATCTTTCTGCACATGCTGCTGCTCCTTGTATGAGGTTTGAGAGGGGAGCAGGGAAGAGAATGGATGGAGTCACAAAGCTCTTTTGCTTGTCTCTTCATCGTTCTGTGGTGTTATTATCCTGCTGTTATTGTGCGGAGCCTCTAGAAAGAGCCCAAACAGGACCGAGCACTGCAGGTCAGCCGGAGGTCATGATACAGGACCAGACAGAATCTGCAGTATAATTAAAGACATTCGGCAGAATTCATTTGTGAAACAAATTTTATTTGTACTTTTATTTGCTGTGAATACAGTTTAGGGCTGTGCGATATGGACAAAAAAAACCTATCGCGATTTCTTTGATCAATTTTGCGATTTTGTCACACACAGACATGCTTTACAGTCATAAATGCATTCAGTGTGAATTTGAAACATATTTCCAAAAGAAAACCAATATCAAAAAGCTGTAACATGTCTCTAGAACAGACACAAGGCAAAATAATCACTAAGTAAAGGTGTAACAAAATGTCTCTAGAATAGACATATGGCAGAAAAGAAAAAGAAAAAATCCCGTGTCCAGGGATTTTTTTTGCCACAGAAAACTGAAACATAACGTTATGTTTTTGCCAAAACTTGTTTCTCTGGTTGGGATTCCACACATCAGGAAATCTGTTTGCTACATTGATTTCCTCAACAGGATGAAGACAGTTCAGCTCTAAACACTGTCTGTGAATGATTTTTACAAGCATTAGAAACAGAAAAACAATCATGTGAAGATTTGATCTTTTCTATCACTGAATATACATTTGCTATTTGCCTTTTTTTTTTTTTTTTATTTAGTTAAGTTAACTTTTTCTCTCTTTTTTTTTTTTTCCAGTTCAGAGAATGGGTCCACATCTACAGCCTCTAATGATCAGAACCGGCCCTCGTTTGAGGTGAGCTGTCATCCACTGTATCTCTGTAATTGCTTTTGGCTGCTGAGTTCACTTGGCATGCAAACTTTGGTCCATATATATTGAGTAAAGTGTGAGATTTCTGGCCCACAATGCAAACTTTGACAATATGCATTTAACAGATGCTCTTATCCAGGGCAACATACGGATTTAGACTATGGTTAATAGATGGTAAGCATGCAAATCATAAATTGTTGAAAGCAGTATAGAATATTCTCCCAGGCCTCCAGTATTGCATAGAAAACCACAGATGCCACTTTAAGAAAATCATGTGTGAAACGACTGGCTGATTGAAGCTCACGAAAGCTTTACCTCTCACCCGTCAGAATGTGGACCAGCACTTGTTTACGTTCCCGCATGGTTACAGCCAGTTTGCTCTGGGGATCTTCGATGAGGGCTTCGACTTCAGAGCGGGTTTGCCAGCGGAAGATAACCGTGACGCGGAGAACCGCAGAGAGCGGGAGATGGTAATTATATATATATATATATATATATATATATATATGTATATATAAAATTCTTTGTTTTTCCCCTAGTTATTCTCAGCTCATTATAAAATGTACAAATATTTTTAAAACCTTATCTAGTAATCAACCTCAGAAAATTAATTGGTCAAGGGTGTGGGGAACTATTTCATGCTATGGGCCATTACTGTAGACCAGAGGTGCCCAAACATTTTAATACGAAAGGCCAAAAATGAAACTTGCCATGTGCCAAAAGTAAATATTTCATTATATGCAGCTAAATTATATTGATATGTTTACAATTTAAATAATAATAAAAAAAAAAATTAAAACATTTTTTTTAGATTATTTTTAATCAAATTCACTTGTGTGAACTTTATCTGAAAAAAAACTACAACTTTTTCTCAATGCAAAAATAAAAATGTTATAAATATAAAATTCATGAGGGTGTACCCACGTTAGAAGGGTAAGAATTCAGCAGATGGCACTGTACTGCAGATTTATTCAGCCGGGTTTGCACTCTGAATTATTGAACTTTTTTTTATTTTTATTTTTTTTATTGAAGATTGATCTATTCTGGATTCCCACTATAATGAAAAGGAATCAGGAATTTGTAAAGACTTTAAAAATGTGATTTCCAGGTCTAAAAATGTCAAGATAATCAATAATAATAATAATAATAAAGAGAGATATATATTTATAAAATATGTATACAAATGCTATTTAGTCGATATAATAAAAAAAATTATAAATAATAAATATATAATTATATATATATATATATATATATATATATATATATGTATATATAAAATTTAAAAAATTAAAGTGCAGCGTAAACTAAGGTACTTACAGGCTGTGAGTCAGAAGCGCCAGACTGTCCTTGCAAAGTTGGAATTGCCCACTTTATAGAAACAACTTTTGTGCACAGACGATTTGCAGGCTACTCTCCCAGGCTCAGGAAACAGTCCTACGTAAAATGCGCCGCACACATCTGAATATTTGGGTTAAACTGTTCTGGAACAGTATTGTAAATACAACTTAACCACTGATTTCTAGTTGTGTCCTCTTTTGGAAGACCAAACAAAGTAGTTTCGCTTTCACACAGCGTCTCCACGACATGGCGGCGGCAGTCTATGCACGAACAGCTTGTAACACTCCAAAGAGAAAAGAAAACTTGAAAGCATCATATGACCCCTTTAAAACCAAAATATAAATTAGAAATTAAGATATGCTTCAATAGCATGTTTTTTTCCTATTTTTCCCCTACTTTTGTGATATGGCACGCCGGCCAAATCAAAGGTCATCACGCAGGCCCTGGTTTGGGCATCTCTGCTGTACACTAATAAAAAGTATGTTTATCAGTGTGTCGCTAGGTTTAAGGGTGGAATAAAATGTTTTTGTTATGTTTGAAAATGTTAATTTATTTTGTTTTCACAGAATCATTCAGCAGTTAGTTAATGGAATTATTGCTCCGACAGCTATGCCAAACGTGGCGATGGGGCCATGGTGAGTCACCAGTGAAATTTTCTGTCTTTACATAATTTCTCAGTCTATGACAAACCACAGCTGATCACTGGACTCTAAACTGCTGTCCTACAGGGGAGTGCTGCACTCAAACCCAATGGACTATGCATGGGGTGCCAATGGATTAGATGCCATCATAACTCAGGTCTCAAGTGGCTTATTGCTTTATTTTATAACCACAAGAAATATGAAACTCTACAGAGCCTTGTGTTGCTATTACAAACCATTAAAAAAACAGTATAATCACATACTCACTTTTTTGTCCCTGTTGTCATCCTGTAGTTGTTAAATCAGTTTGAAAATACGGGTCCCCCTCCAGCAGACAAAGAGAAGATTAAGAGTCTCCCTACGGTCCAGATAACACAGGAGCACGTGGGTAAGAAGACAGACGTCTGATACATGACCACACACTGCTGGAGCACAGCATCAGTGGATCTGGGTTTCATGTTTTAGCAGCGGTGCTTCAAACTGAGTGAATGTTGAGATTTCTCACAGAGGGTACTATGCTGACAGCGTGATGTGCTTTAGCTTTCTAATTGTAACTGTTAGACGTCCCACATGGTGAACCCTCTCTGAAGCATTGCATCTCTAAATTCATCAATTTTTAAAGAGTCATCGCTGCAGCCGTCAAAACACTGCCTTTGTAAAATATTCACGCCTTCCAGTGCAAACTTCAGACCTGCTGTGAGCAGAGTTCCTGTATTTATGTCTCTTTTTTGTGAGCAAAATAACACTTTTGTGCAATAAGATAGATATTAAAAATATGCAGTGGTGGACGAAGATCAAGTACTTGAGTAAAAGTACAGATACATATAATAAAATTAATCCAAACAATATAAAAAATGTATACTGTTGATAAACAATATAAAATCAGACGTCACATAGGGCTAAATGCGTAGCATTTTAAACGGCAGCGGGGAATATGAATGTGCATGAGTTATTTTAATCTGTTATTTTAATGTTTCGTTTTTTTTAACAAGTACAGTAACGAATTAAAACTACTCCGTTACTGTCCACCACTGAAAATATGTAATATGTGACCTTGGACCACAAAACCAGTCATAAGTGTCAATTTTTTTTAAATTGATATTGATACATCCTCTGAAAGCTGAATAAATAAGCTTTCCATTGATGTATGGTTTGTTAGGATAATACAACTATTTGAAAATCTGGAATCTTGAGGGTGCAAAAAAAATAAAAATTATAATATTGAGAAAATCGCCTTTAATTAAAGTTGTCCAAATGAAGTTCTTAGCAATGCATAGTACTAAT